GTGGCGCACCAGCAACGACCCTCTCGCTGTAGGCCAGGCTGCAGCTAGCACCGCCGCTATGCCCGCCTTTACGCGTCGACCAGACAACCACCAGGAAGTCCACGCCATTCAGCTCTGCCATAGCTTGGTCCGCGTGCCCGGCAAGGTTCATCGACGGCGCAACAAATGCCGCATGAGCCCTTGTCCGGGAGCACACAAGCGTAGAAGCCCAATCGATGGCTGAGGGTGAGGCTCGTGGTGGCCTCCTGTGCCCCATCGACGTCTGCGAGGGTGATGTTCTTGGCGGCCTTCAGTACGCCCAGCGGTGCCAGCGAGGGTACGGCTCGTGGCGGCCTCCCGTATGCCAAGCGACGGAGGCGAGGGCGAGGCTCTTGGCAGCCACCTGTGTGCCCAGTGGCGGAGGCAAAGGTGAGGCTTTTGGCGGCCTCCCCTGCGCTAAGTGACGACAGTGAGGACGGGTTTCTTGGCGACCTCCTGTGGCGTCGTGAGTAGCAGCCTCAAGGGAAGGACCAGCGCGTCATGGACGTCCCATGAGGGTTAGCTTGCCAGTGAAGAGTGTAACGCCCCGATCTGGATCGCAGGTGACCAGAGTAGGCTCGAGGAAGGATCTGGAGAAGGGAATGAGAGAAATTTGGAGAAGGGGGTGAGCAAGGGGAAAGGTTAGGTGAAATTTCAGAATTCAGTTCTTAGAACTCTGAACCCACGCACACGCTTCGCAAGGCTTTAGTACACGCCCCAGCCTCAGCCAGCTGGCTACTCACACACGCAGACCCACACTTGGGCCCACTTATCAGTCACAAGGTGGTGTTGACACTGCCGGTGTGACATTCTCCCCTTCTTGAGAAGGAACTCCCACCTCAGCTAGCTCCTCGCTCCAGATAGCCGCTGTTGGGTGACGGCGACGTAACACTTCGCGGTCTTCCCAGGTAATTGTTGGAGGAGTTGTGTCCCATTGCACTTGGAGTTGCACCACAGGTGTGTCGCCCAGCTTCAGCATCTTTCTGTCCAGAATGGTTGTTGGAGTGGCCTGGACTGCAGTCAAGTCTGTAGTACTCGGAAGTTCAGAAAACACAGGTGTATAGTTGGGGGGTGAAAGGCTTCAACTGGGACACATGAAAGACAGGGTGTATATGGCTGTCCGAAGGCAGGTCGAGCTTATAAGCTGCAGGTCCAATCTTGGCGAGAACTTGGAACGGCCCGAAGAATTTGAAGGCCAGCTTGGCGCAGGGACGGCTGGCAACTGACCGTTGCACGTAGGGCTGTAGCTTCAGTAACACTTCCTCACCCACCTGGAAAGAGCGCTCTGTGCGGTTGGCATCAGCAAACTTCTTGTATTTGGCCTGGGCTCGCGCTAGTTGTAGATGGAGGCGCTCCTTGTGTACTGCCCAGTCCCATACCTCGCCGTCCGGCATGGTAGGTGGCGACGCGGGCCAGGTAGCCATACTGCCCATGCTTGCTTCCACCCCATAGAGAGCCTTGAACGGAGTGCATCCGGGGAGGAGTGGAAGGACGAATTGTACCAGAATTCTGCCAAAGGAAGCCAGCGGCGCCAGTGCTGTGGCGTGTCATGGACCGCGCACCGCAAGTACATCTCCATGCAGTGATTCACCCTCTCGCTTTGTCCGTCTGTCTGTGGATGGTAGGCGGAGAAATACAACAGCTTAGTACCAGCCCCGGCAAACAGCTCCCGCCACAGTGCACTGGTGAACACTTCGTCGCAGTCTGAGACGATGGATGCCGGGATCCCGTGGAGCTTGACAATGCTATCCCAGAATGCCTTGGCCACTTGAGATGCTGTGAATAGATGCCGAAGTGCGACGAAGTGAGCAAATTTGGTGAAGCGATCCACCACCACCATGATGGTGTCACAGCCCTCAGATTTAGGGAGGCCTTCGATGGAATCCATTGTCAAATCCTACCAGGGTGCTCTTGGAATCGGCAGAGGTGCCAATTTGCCTGCAGGTTTACGCAACTCGTGTTTTGCTTGCTGGCAGACGGTGCATTGCCTCACATAATCCTCCACAGCCAGCTTCAGGCCCTTCCACTCAAACAGCTTCTTGATGCGCTGATAGGTTGCCATTGCGCCGGAATGCCCCCCAATGGCGTTGTCGTGTAGAGCGCTGATCAGTTTGGTGCGGAGCGCGGTATTTGCACCAATCCACAGGCGGCCATGGCGATGTATCATGCCATGGTACAGTTCATAGCCGCTGTCATCTGGGCTATGCACCGCAAGTTGCTACATCATCTCTTGGGCTTCAGGGTCTGTCTCATATGAATTGGCAACCTCTTGAATCCAGACGGGCTGACAGAGGGACAGGGTGTTGGTGCTGAAATGGTTGCCCACACGTGACAGTGCGTCGGCGGCACTATTATCCACGCCGCGCTTGTACTGGAACTGAAATTGCAACCCGACGAGCTTGGACATGGCTTTGCGCTGTAACTCGGTCTCTAGATGCTGATCGCCCAAGGTGCAGAGACTTTTGTGGTCCGTGAGGATAGTGAACGGACCACACTGCAGATAACACCTCCATTTGTCCACGGCCATCATAACCGCTAGGAACTCTTTTTCATAAGTGGAGAGCTTCTGGTTGCGCACTCCGAGTGCCTTGCTGTAGTACACGATCGGGTGGCCTTCTTGAGCTAGGACGGCGCCAATGCCAGTGTCGCACGCGTCTGTTTCGATGGTGAATGGCTTGTCGAAGTCCGGGAGGGCAAGGACGGGCGTGGTCACCATTGCCTGCTTGAGTGTCTCGAACGCGCGCTGGGCCTGCTCAGTCCAGACGAATCCCTTCTTGGTGAGTTGTTGTGTCAACGGCTTGGCGATGATCTCATAGTGTGGGACGAACTTGCGGTAATATCCTGTGAGGCCGAGGAACCCACGGAGCTCGGTGGCATTGGTTGGTGTTGTCCACTGCTCCATGGCTTGAATCTTCTCGTTGTCTATAGCGACACCCTCCTTGGAAATGACATGGCCCAAGTAGTCAATGTGGTCTTGAGCGAACGAACACTTGGACAACTTGGCGTAGAGCTGGTGCTTGCGGAGGAGCTCGAGAACGATCCGCAAGTGCTCCGCGTGCTTCTCCAATGTCTCACTGAAAACCAGAATGTCGTCAAGAAAAATGATTTACAAACTTACGTGTATACTTGGCGAAGATCGCATTCATCAAGCATTGGAACGTGGCCGGCGCGTTCGTCGTGCCAAAAGGCATGACTCTGAACTGAAAATGCCCATGATGCGTCTTGAATGCCGTCTTGTGTTCGTCTTCCTCTTTCATGCGGATTTGGTGGTAACCTGCCCGAAGATCCAGCTTAGAGAAGTAAGCTGCACCAGACAGCTCGTCCAATAGCTCGTCCACGATCGGCAATGGAAATTTGTTCTTGACAGTGATGTCGTTTAGGCGTCGATAGTCAATGCAAAACCTCCAGGAGCCGTCCATCTTCTTGACCAATAGCACCGGTGCTGCGTACGGACGGACAGAATGAGTAATCACCCCTGAGTCCAACATTTCCTTCACTTGCCGCTCAATTTCGTCCTTCTGAAGGGGTGAGTAGCGATAAGGGCGCGTGTTTGCTGGCTGCGCTCCCTCGACCAAGGTCACCGCATGGTCATACTGGCGATGAGGAGGTAGGCCCTTTGGTGCTGTAAACACGTCAGTGAACTCTTCCAGAAGATCACTAATTGGAGTGAGTGTAACGCCCCGATCTAGATCACATGCGACCAGAGTAGGCTGGAGGAGGGATCTGGAGAAGGGGATGAGGGGAATTTGGAGAAGGGGATGAGGGGAATTTGGAGAAGGGGATGAGTAAGGGGAAAAGTTAGGTGAGATTTCAGAATTCAGTTCTTACAACTCTGAATCCACGCACACGTCTCGCAAGGCTTTAGTACACGCCCCAGCCTCAGCCAGCTGGCTACTTACAGACGCAGACCCACACTTGGGCCCATGACTTGGAATCCCTTGCCAGAGCCAGACCTCACCCCCTCCCCACGCCGCCCATGATGGGTTGGATGGGACGCGTGTTACCACCCCAAAGCGTAGCAATCCAGCAAATGGTTGGTTCAAGGCGGTTCAGAATTTGTCAACACAGGCTGAAAGAGGGGTCCCACACACTCCCCAACGCCCCGATTCACCCTAGCGCTGTATTTCGAGGGAGCTTAGTAACTTTACTGATTCAAAAAAAAAAAACTAGGAGTACATGTAACTTGTCTCGTACTCTGTATATATCCCATACAGAGTCGGATCGGAAGCCTATCTATTTTTTCGACACGACATGTTCGTGAAACTTAAGGCAGGGGTTACGTGGACTTCTTTGGTCGGCAGCGGAACTGTGTATGCGCCACCCGCCTAGTCAGAAAACCAAACGCAAGTCTAACCGAACATACGCTTTCTCGATCGTACCCGTTCCGGACGGCGGCTGCAGCCGCGGCTAGATGGCGGACGAGCACGTTACGACCCAGCCGCCGGCCGGCGGCTCTCCACTTCCACGCATGGGGAACGACACCACGGAGGAGACGCGTAAGCGTCCGGCGGATGAGGACGCGGAGCGGTCGGCGAAGCGGCCGTCGCCGAAAGAGCTGCACGAAGAGGTCATGCAATCTCTTGGTGACGTGCGCGAGGCGCAGGCCACGCTGTACGATCCCAAGCGAAAGTGCTTCGACTGCTGCCGCGGCTTTGAGTGGTACATGCACGAGCCCGCAGTGTTCGACCACGAGGAAGAGTGTAAGATCTAAATCTTATTATATCCTCTCTCTCTCTCTCTCTCTCCAAAATTAGTGTTCACGTTCAAATTAAATCTCTTTAAACCAACAGAGGTTTGCACAACATTCTAAATTTTTTTGAGTTGCTTCTCTTGAGCTCGCAGCAACGGCTCGGTTCTCAAGGCCGCTTGACGAAATCCCAGAGTCTCAATTAGACTTCCTGAAGATCGCGTTGAATGTGATTCATGTGAAGGTATTGGCCTCCGATGTAGGTTTCCCGATCAGCGTGTTTGGGAATGTGTTGATGAGAGATGGCTTGGACTTCAAATGCATCCACCTCTTCCAACGTGATAGAGACAACTGCCAGGTCATCAACTCACCGGTTAGTACTACTCCTAGTATTAATCAATCATTGGATCGTCAAGCTACACGTATATACGCACATTGCATGCCTATCATATGGTATTCATTGGTGCATACATACATACATACATACATACATACGTACATAGATTGTCTACATACATCAAGCTATACATACATAAATTGCGGAAAAATACCAATAATTTCTTCATTAACTAGATGATTATATAACCACACACAGACTCTTCTGAAATTATCCCCTTTTAATCCCGGCCGTCTGTTGCAGGATGAAATGCTAAATTTGATAGGGCCCAATCGAGGACCCGCAGAAGCTGTTGTTTTCTATTTTGAGGTCAACCTAAAGATCAGGGGCGAAGAACCTGCTATGGATATGATTTTCAGCAGGACCTTGGTGAATGAAAATTATCCTCTTGATGCATGGACTAAGAAACAAGAAGTTTCAAGTTGGCTGAGTACATTAGAGTTTTCATACAGATCTGTGCACTATGCGGTGGAAGCCACCGTTGGGATCAAAATTTTGAGAGGGCCACGATTCTTGCATGGCAGCCTGATAGCTTCCACCTCCGAAGAGCCTAGTGAGATGGTGCTATATGACAGTGAGCGCTGGGGTGCCCATACCAAGGTTGCTGTGGATGGGTCGGTGAATCTACCTCGTTGTCTAGTAATTCTACGCGAAGACGAGGATTTATTCCTAAAAGTTTGTGTTTTTGGCCGTCGCCATAGAAGAGCTAAGCCCAATACCATTGTCCTTACAGTTGAACATTCTGATAGATCATTCGATATAAAACTAGGTTGTTATCACTTACAAGTCACCGTGTCCTGGTCAGGCATTTTGTTGCCCTAGATACATCTGTTTGAGATACATCTGTTTGAGCGACAAATAATATGAATTGGAGGGAGTAGTACATTTTTTGTAATTGTGATACATCATTCGAATAAAACAAGGTTGTTTTTTACCGGTTGAAGTTTGATGAAGAAAACTAATAATACAAAACCATGAAAAACCACCTAATCCGTTTTTCATGGAGGGGCGACTCGGCTGTGCCTTCCACCACTCCCCGCACGACCATGGCAGCGCCGCCGACCAGATCCTGGAACAGCTGCATGTTGTGCTTTGAACTGCTGCCGTGGATTTTTTTTGAAAGATCCAGCTTGGCTGGCATTCATTCCATTAAGCAGAGAGAGGGCGGAAACAATTGTTGATCAAGTGATCATGGGGTTAAAAGAAGATTACAGGCCTCCGCGTTCAGGCAGGGGTGCTCATATACGCGATCTTTCACGGTACGTTCCCGAACGGGTGCTCCATGCATTTTGCTCCGGCGATCCTCCATTGCTCCATGTCCCGCCTGCAAGCTTCAGTGATGCTCCTCATGCTTGCTATCTTTCCTCTGAATGTGCATGCATTGCGCTTGATCCAAATCTGCCAACATACAAGAGCCATCAGCGATCTGGTCCCTCTGCAGGTGCTTGTGGAGGTGTGGTCGATGATCCTTTGAACGCGGTCGCCTGTTGTGACGCCCCCGATTCAATCGTACACTAATCATACACGCAAACGTGTACGGTCAAGATCAGGGACTCACGAGAAGATATCACAACACAACTGTACAAATAAAATAAGTCATACAAGCATCATATTACAAGCAAGGGGCCTCGAGGGCTCGAATACAAGAGCTCGATCATAGACGAGTCAGCGGAAGCAACAATATCTGAGTACAGACATAAGTAAACAAGTCTGCCTTAAGAAGGCTAGCACAAACATGGATACATATCGAAAGAGGCGCATGCCTCCTGCCTGAGACTCTCCTAAACTACTCTTGGTCATCGTCAGCGGCCTGCACGTAGTAGTAGGCACCTCCAGAGTAGTAGGAGTCGTCGTCGACGGTGGCATCTGGCTCCTGGACTCCAACGTCTGGTCGCAACAACCGGGTATAGGAAAGGGGGAAAAGGGGGAGCAAAGCAACCGTGAGTACTCATCCAAAGTACTCGCAAGCAAGGAACTACACTACATATGTATCCATTGGTATCAAATGGAGAAGGGATAACATATGTGGACTAAACTGTAGAATGCCAGAATAAGAGGGGGATAGCTAGTCCTATCAAAGACTACGCTTCTGGTAACCTCCATATTGCAGCAGAAGAAGAGAGTAGATGGTAAGTTCACCAAGTAGCATCGCATAGCATAAACCTACCCGGTGATCCTCCCCTCGTCGCCCTGTGAGAGAGCGATCACCGGTTGTATCTGGCACTTGGAAGGGTGTGTTTGATTAAGTATCGGGTTTTAGTTGTCATAAGGTCAAGGTACAACTCCAAGTCGTCCTGTTACCGAAGATCACGGCTATTCAAATAGATTAACTTCCCTGCAGGGGTGCACCATATTTCCCAACACGCTCGATCCCCTCTGTCCGGACACACTTTCCTGGGTCATGCCCGGCCTCGGAAGATCAACACGTCACATCCCTACATAGGCACAACAAAGAGGTCAGCACGCTGGTCTAAATCCTATGGCGCAGGGGTCTGGGCCCATCGCCCATTGCACACCTGCACGAACGCGTCCGGAAGCAGACCTAGCCTCCCTAATACAAGAGCAGGCATTACAGTCCATTTCGGCGCGTGCCGCTCAGTCGCAGACGTCACGAAGGCTTCAGCTGATACCACCACGTCGAGTGCCCATAACTGTTCTCACGTAGTTGGTTAGTGCGTATAGGCCAGTGGCCAGACTCAGATCAAATACCAAGATCTCGTTAAGCGTGTTAATTGATGTAACCGCGGACACCGACCAGGCCAGGCCCACCTCTCTCCTAGGTGGTCTCAACCTGCCATGTCGCTCCGCCACAAAGTAACAGTCGGGGGCCGTCGGGAACCCAGGCCCACCACTACCTGGGTGGAACCACCTGCCCCTTCAGCCCCAACATCGGAATCACTTGCGGGTACTCTACGAGCCGACTCGACTTTAGTCACAACATGTATCATGTGTAATATGTATAGTATATACCCGTGATCAACACCCGACGTGATCACGACCCGATAGTATAGCATGGTAGACTGACAAGAATGTAGGGCCATGAATGATAAACTAGCATCCTATACTAAGCATTTAGGATTGCAGGTAAGGTATCAACAACTGTAGTAACAATGACAGGCTATGCAACAGAATAAGATTAATCGAAAGCAGTAACATGCTACACTACTCTAACGCAAGCAGTAGAGAGAAGAATAGGCGATATCTGGTGATCAAGGGGGGGGGCTTGCCTAGTTGCCCTGGCAAGGAGGGGTCATCTTCGATGTAGTCGAACACACAGACATCGGCAGCGGTCTCGGAGTCTACCGGAAAGAAGTAACGGAGGGGAACACAATAAATAACAGAGCAATCAAATGTAACGCAAAGCAAGATGCGGCAATTCGCTGTGCTAGGGGTGACCTAACGCAGGGATAGGTGATGTCGACAAAGGTGGGAAAAACATCCGGGAAAGTACTCCCGGTGTTTGACGTTTTCGGACATACGGACCAGAGGGGGATGGTTGCAAGTTCGCTATGCTAGGGACGTGCGGCGGACGAACGGACTGTATATTCGGATTCGTCTCGAAATTCTGAGCAAGTTTCATGTATAAAGTATTTTCATCTGACTTACGGTTTAGTTTCTATGATTTGACAAGTTTTTAAATCATTTTCTGTAATTATTATATTTAGTTTAATCCGAATTGACCAGGTCAATTTGACTAGTCAAAAGGGCAGGTGTGGCCCACATGTCATAGACTATTTACCTAAACAAATAAATAAACCTAACTTATTTGGCCAACATGCATCTACTACTACTAGACTAATTTAGCACTAATTAATACTAGCTACACCTTGTGTAAAACTAATCTAAGCAGTACTAATCTAAGCAAGGGCCGGCTACACTCACGCACACACACACACACAACACACACACTCAGGCGCACACACACAGCACACTGGCCATGGCCATGGCCAGCCGTAGGAGCAGAGCAACTACATATAGCAAGTATTAGCGAATATCAGCAGTAGTGGTTAGGAGCAGTAGCAGCGTAGCACATCAGCAGCAGCAAGAAGAGCAGCAGTAAACGGCAGCGGCAGCAGCGATGCTAGCAGCCAGCGAGCGGCAGCAGGTAAGAGGAGAAGCAAGCAGCGGCGGCTACGGACGGATGCGGCAACGACGCGCGAGGCCACGCGCGAGCACGGCCGGCCGAGCAGGAGGTAGCGGCGGGCGCAGGGCTGCACGGGCAAGGCGAGCAGCGCCGAGGCGCGGCCACAGGCGTGGACGCGCGCGCACGCGGGGCGGCCGGCACGCGGGCTGTAGGGGTCTGGGGGCACGGGCAAGGCACGGCAGGGCGCGCGCTTGCGCGTACGACGAGGCGCAGGGGCAGGCAGAGTTCGACGGACGGCTGTTACAGGGCGACGGCGGAGCTCGGAGGCGGCTAGCGTCAGCTCCAGCTCGAATCTTGAGCTCGTACAGAAAGGAGAAGGGTGCGGGTGCTCACAGCGGAGCTCGGGGAGGGGGTCGGGGGAGCGAGGGGTGGGCAGTGCCCTGTGTGAGTGTGTCGGGGACTTAAATACCTATTGTACTGCTGTATATTGTAATCTCAGGCGTGTATAGCCATGTAGCTGTTAGAATATAGAGTTGTAATCTCAACCTCTTTCCTTCTCTTATATTCTACCCAAATTCTTTCTGTCATAACCTTGTACGTCAAGTCAGGCTTCGGCCACGCATCAATATAAACTACCACGCGGCTCCCTCGATGGAGTAGGAACGCTTCATATCTTTCATGGTAATCAGAGCCACCTCTTCTCATACATCTAGCCACAATCCAAAACCCTAGAAACCACACATCATCGTCTCCATGGCTTCCTCCGCCAGCGTCTCCCTCAACCTTGGATCGCCGCCGTCTGAGAAGCTCGCAAGAGGTAATTTCATCCTCTGGAAGACGCAGGTCCTCCCAGCCCTGCGAGGCGCGCAGGTGACGGGGCTCCTGGACAACACCGATGCCGCTCCACCCAAGATGGTGGAGATCACGAAGGCAGACAAGACCACGGCCCTAGAGCCGAATCCCCTATACGGACCCTGGATCGCCAAAGATCAGCAGGTTCTATCATACCTTCTCAATTCCATGTCTCCAGAAATTCTTGCACAAGTTGTTGGGAAAGACTCCACCTTTGAGCTCTGGACGACGGTGACAAATCTCTTCGCCTCACAATCTCAGTCTCGGATTACTAATCTGAGAATCGCCATCACCAATACCAAGAAGGGCTCGATGTCAAGCTCGGCGTATATGGCGAAGATGAAAAGTCTTGGGGATGAACTAGCTGCTGCAGGTCGTCCCGTATCTGATCCGGAGATGGTGGACTATATTCTGGCCGGACTGGACCGCGACTACGACCCCGTGGTGGCAGCGATCGGCGCTGTCAAAAACATCATCACAGCCGACGATCTTTTTGCCCAGATTGCTGCCTTTGATCAAAGGATGGAGATGCTTGGCGACTCATCTTCAGGCGGGTTCTATTCATCCGCTAATGCGGTCTACAGAGGCCGTGGCCAGTCCCGTGGCAGATCTCGCGGGCGTGGAGGAAGAGGTCGTGGCCGTGGTGATCGTGGTGACCGCGGTGACCGACAGTCGTCTTCCTCCAATGGAGGCGGCGGATTCAGAGGCCGTCCTCGACAGCAACAGCAACAGCAGGCTCGTGAGCAACAGCATGACTATCCAGAATGTCAGATATGCTACAGACACCATCCAGGAGGTGCACGAGTTTGCTGGTGGCGTTATGAAGAAAACGATGTAACGCCCGGATAATCTTGCTACAGTAATCCCATGCTAATCATGGCACGTC